TTTCTTCATTTCTCTTAAATCTTCATTCCGATTTTTCTTCATACAGGCTTGTGTCAAGGGATTTATCTTCTAGTTGGGAAATGTGTTCTTCAGTCAGTTCTAATTTACTCTTTTGTGGTTCTACTGTGTTGTGTAATTCTGTAATTTTGGTATTCATCTTCTGGATTTCTAACTGCTGTTTTATCTATGAGTTCTGATTGTATATTAATCTTGTTATATTGTTCTTGAATGGTTTTCCTGAGTTCTTCCAGGGTACTGTCTGTGTTCTCTTTGATTCTAGAAAATTGTTCTTTAATCTTCCTGTAGGTGATTGGGTTTGACTAAATCAGGCTATTTCTCTGTACTGCTAATCAAAGCCACTTATACTAATGGTATGTTACTGAGTTTGAGATCCGTAGTTTTACATTGTCTCTGCAGCGATGCAAAAGAAAGTTTGAGAGGCCATAGGGAAGTATTCCTTCATGTTCTATCAATGTTGTCCAATAATTTTTTCAGCAATGATGGAAATGTTCTGTATCTGTACTGTCCAATATGGTAGCCACAAGCTCCATGTGGCTGTTGAGCATTTGTAATGCAGCTAGTGTGAATGAGAAACTGAATTTTAAATTTTATAAAATTTGATTAAAATTAAACTTTAAATTTAGAAATCTACATGTGTCTAGTGGCTACTATATTGAACAGAGCAGTTCTCTCTCGTTCTCTCTCTCATTCTGTTTCTCTTCAATATCAAATAACCTGGGTATAAGTGCTTGATATTTGACCATGATTATATGCTTAGCTTTGCCCAAATTATTCTGAAATATGCATAAAATTGAGGACAATTTGTTGGTAATTACATCAACTATTAAAGGGAAATTTGCTGGATTGGTTTATGACATTTTCTATTCTTAAACATTCAATCTATTCTAGTATTAATGATTCTAAGGGTCCTTAATTCTTTTAATGCATGTCTTTACTGAGATGAAAGGGACACCTTGATGAGATGTGAAAGGCATGATGTTAAATACACCTATCTGCTAAGTTAAGCAATGATTTTAAAATAGCCTGATTTAGTCAAACCCAATCACCTACAGGAAGATTAAAGAACAATTTTCTAGTAAGTTCACTAAGACATGAAAACGTACTACCTTCTGCAATGGAAGCAGAAGTAATGATCTTTCAGGCTACATGAAGTGGAAAAAGATCAAATACCCAGGGCTTCTGATAAGGATTAGGCACTACCGCTATGTGCATCTTTAGATTTTGGCTTGAATTACTTGTTTTTGTGACTCGGCCTTAAAAGTTGTACTCTTCACCTTTATTTTCAGTTCAAGGAACAAGAGAGGGGCTACTGAAGATGAGAGTTGGAGTGCTCTGGCTTATATCGTTCTTCACAATCACAGAGGGGCATGGTGGCCTCCACCTGCTGGGGGTGAGTTGGAGGATGGTCTGTCTTTCCTCTCTATTACCTCTCCTTTCTCCTGGCACTTTTAGAAACTGGCAGCTGACACCACATAGTTTATTGGACTTGGAATCAAAAGTCCTTGGTTCTTGTTACAACATTGCCAATATTCTTGTTTCAACCTTATCTCTGTGGCCTTGGACAAGTCATTTCAGCTGTTTTGACCATAAGTAAGCTAACTACTTACTTAACGAGGACCCCAGACTAAACCATCCTGGAGATCTTTTCCAGCTCGATACCTTGTCTAATATGGTCTTTTTGAAGCCAAAAGTGTGTATGGGTTGGCATTAACAGTCCTGGAGCCCTCTCTTTCCTATCTATTTTCATTTTCTTGATGCTTTCATCTTGGCTTGTGGTTTTAATAGACTGATATAAGGAGCCCTGATGGTACAGTTGTGCAGTGATATGCTAACTGATAGTTCAACAATTCTAACCCAACAGCCAAGATGCAAGAGTTTTCTTCCATAGAGAGTACAGCCTTGATAATGCTATGGGGCCATTCTACCCTGTCCTATAAGGCCACTATGAGGTAGAATTGACTTAATGGTAACAAGTTTAGTTTTTGGTATAGGTGAATAACTCGCAAATTTATACACTGAAAACTGTGAGAGTGGGAATTCAATGGGACTCCCTTGTTTTCCTGGGCCTCACAAGTTTTCTGCCTTTGACAAGGTGCAGTCTTACCACTTTTCTATCACTCTCTATTACTGTAAAATATTTGAGTTTTCCTTCTCTGGTTTCTGTCTTACATAGTTTCTAGCTTTCTTAACTTTTACTGTAACTCTGTGTCAGACTTCTCCCCTGAATGCCACACTCATAATTCTAGTACCTACTGGAATGGCAGGAGCTCTGGTAGCATAGTGCCTAAGGCACTTGACTGCTAACCAGAAGGCTGGCGGTTCAAACCCACCAGCCACTCCTCGGAAGGAAGGTTGGGCAATCCTACTTCCATAGTGATAACTGCCTCGGAAACCCAAGGAGGGGTCGTTATGAGTCGGGGCCGACTCGACGGCAAATAACAACAACAACAACAACTGGAATGGCCACTTGAATGCCCAAAAAGACCCTCAACTTAATATGTCCAAAATCAAACTCTTGATTTTTTTTTTCCTCACCAAACCTATTCTTCCATCCCTACTCAACAAGCAACATCATCATCCCTCCAGTGGCTTAGGCAAAAACCATGATGTCATGTTTGATTCTTCTCTTTTTCTTGCATTCCATATCTAAACATCAGCATTTTTTTTTTTTACTTCCTCTTCAAAATATGTCCAGAATCTAACTAATTCTCACCACTTCATGACTACTACCACTTACTTGTATTATGTCAATCACCACTGATACTCATTATTTCTGTGCTTGTCTATTCTCAACATGGCTGCAGGCTTGAGCCTTCTGAAAAGTAAATTAAAGCATGCCTTTCTTCTGTTTAAAACTCCCCCAATGGGTTCCCATCTGACTCAAGTAAAAGCTAAAGTTTTTACCATGAACTATAAAGATCTAATAACCTGCTTACTAGAGACACCTTTCTGACCTCACCTCTTGCTTCTCTCCTGTTACACTGGCCACCTCACTCTACATGCAAAGCATATTGATGCCCCTGGGCCTTTGCACATGCTATTCCCTCTGCCTAGAAAGCTCCTCCTCCAGAGATTTTATCTTCACCAACTCATTCAGGTCTTTGGTTAAAAATTTACTCAGTGAGAAGGGCAATGCACCAAACGTGAGTGATCAACATGGTGGTATTGAGGAAGAGGAAGGCAAAGAGAGGTACATGGGAGATACAGACAACAAAGATGAATGCTTTGCACATACAGTACTGTGTTGTCAGTGAAGGCAAACATGGCTATACGGGTGGATATATGAGTGGACAGGCTGAACTATTAAGTATGTCTATACAGGGGAAGTGTGCCCAAGACCATGTATAGGGTTGACAGACAATCTTTTTACAAGTGTATTTGTGTGTTCTGTAAGAATTCCCAGGTATATATTAGAGCTGACAAGGGACAAGTTTGTAGTCACTTTGTGGTCACAGCCAGCTACCCAGAGGGAGAAAGTAGTTGAACCTGTGGGATTGGGACCATAGTCACAGGGGACATCAAGTTCAATTGGTATAACACACTACACAAAACGTTGTTTCACCTCCTACTTTGGCGAGTAGCGACTGAGATCTTAAAAGCTTGCAAGCAGCCATCTAGATGTAACGACGGGTCTCTCCTCATCCAGATCAAAGAAGAATGAAGAAAACCAAAGATTCATGGAAGCAATTAGTCCAAGTACACCATGCAATCCTCAGCCTATACAACTATGAGATGAGAAGAACTAGATGGTACCTGGCTACCACTGTCAACCACTCGAAGAGGGATCTATGTAGGAGATCCTGGATAGAGTGGGAGAACAACATGAAACAAAATTCAAAATCCTTTGGGGGGAAAAAAAGGGACCAGGTTTGCTGGTCTGATAGAGCCTGATGGAACAACTGAGATTGTGGCCTCTAGCTGCCCTTCAGGTCTGAAATTGAACCCACACTTGTAGCTTCCAGCCAAACAAAAGACAGGCATATGAGGTGAACATTTACATTAGGTAGATACACTCCTTGGAAAGAACAATCATGGGAGAATAGAACGGCTGTGTATGCACAGGGACATAACTCAGGAGGCAGGAATGCATAGAAGGGAGAGGCCTAGGGAAGAGGTAACTATGGGGAAGAAGTCAGAGGGGAGCTGCATAGTGGTAAATTGTAGTCAATGTGAGGAGACAAAGTGTATGTGAACTGCTGTACGGAAAGTTATTTTACCTTGTAAGCTTTCACCCAAATTACACACACACACACACAAACTTTACTCAGTGAGGCCTTTTTTGGCTACCTCTCCACCACTCCTGGCTTGGATTTCAGTTCCACAATTTCAGTTTATTGGAAAATCCAACAAAGCCTTAGGAAGTACACACTCCAAAGCCTCATCACAACTATCTTCTTTTCTACTTAACAGAGAGATGATGGCATCAAAACAAAAAGAGAACTCATTGTGAATAAGAAAAAACATCCAGGTGAGACTCCATTATATAGTACATTATATAAATTAAATAGCTTAGTGGATTTTTGTGTCAAGAACCTGGTTCAAATACAAGCATGGTTTCTGACTGGTTGTATGATTTTTGGCATGTTTTTAATTGTCTCAACATCTGTGAAAAGAGAATAATAGTAATTACTACTAGCAAGACATTTGTCAGAATTAAATAATCTAATGTACATGTAGTAACTTGCATGCCTGGCAAGTAGCTGTTTCATATACTTCCTCTCTGACCTTACTTTGATCTTAGCAATGTAATTAGTGGGCACAGCCCTCAGTCTAGGAATGAATTGTGTTATGACATTTAATTTGTGGGTCTGCCTGATATTTCAAACACCAAACACATTTCTTCATGGAAATAAGGATACAAAGGGTTGGTTGTTAGATCCTGGGTCAGTCCACCAAAGCTTTTATACCATTCCATGAATTTGCCATAAAACAATATGCTAATAGTATCATGGAACCTAGAATCATGTGTGACTACAAATCTTTTGGAAAAGGAAATTAAAATTTCAACTTGGAATGCCACAGATATTTCTTTCCTGGCAATAAAAATTACAGTAAAACTACAGCAAGTATTTATCAACCTCTTACTATGTGCCAGGCACTATTTTAAGTGTGTTAGATGAATTAAATTCTCACACTGACACTCTGAGTTAGGTCCAGTAATCATTTTTATTTTATGGAGAATGAAACTAAGGCATAGAGCTAGGGGCAAGAGCCAGAATTCAAACCTAGTCAATTTGGCTCCAGAACCAGTGCCACTGACCCCTGACAATGTGACAGCCTCACCCTTTCCCTCTTCTCCCCAACTCTCACCTGCATGGGCCGTAGGAGTGGGAATCCTTTCAGAGCTCCACCTCTTGGGACAATTCCCAATGTCTCTGGTAGGTGGTTCATCTGTAATGAGATGGGAAGAGTAAGGGATGGCGTAAAGCTCTGCAGTTTGCATTGGTATGTGCTATGGGGATATAGGTCTTTTGTAAATGTTCGTAGACGTGTATACATCTCAGTCTGTGCCCTGTTACTTTCTTCCTTTTCATCTGAGCAGACCAGGATTGTTCCATCTGCTTTATTTCTGTATAAAGCTACCTTCTGCCTAGCCCTCAGGGCCCTGAAGAAATGTGACAGTCTCATAGATGCTTTCCATTTTATCTGTCCCTGAAGAAAGGTATGGCACTACCCTGAGAAGTCTAAGAGATTTCTAAGAGATTTCACTGCCAATAGCACTGAAATGAGACCCAAGATCAAAAGACACCCACCCATTTCTTTATTTTTTCTAAATTTCTTCACATTCTTGATCTGGCATCCATATTTGATCTTGGACCCCTCTGGAACTTTATCCAAGTTTCATATGAATGTCTAAATGAATAATGAGTGGAAGAAGACTCAGGATCCATCTTCTCTCTCAGCCCAAAACAATTAATAACCTTTCCTTAAGGAACAAAAAAAGGAGCTCTGGTGGTATAGTGCCTAAGGCATTTGACTACTAACCAGAAAGTTGGTGATTTAAACCCACCAGACACTCAGCAGAAGGAAGATGGAGCAATCTACTTCTGTAAAGATTTACCACCTTGCAAACCCAATGGGGGTCGATGGGTTGAAATTGACTTGATAGCCATGGGTCTGGTTTTAGTTAAGGAAAGAAAGCACACCCAGAAATGATAACGGTGGTGGTAAGGACACACAAAGGGCTGAAGGAAGAATATTTTTGCATTTCATATGAATACTCAAACTCAGCTTGTTATTGTAATATTTTTCACAGGAGAAAGAAGGATGTTTTGGATAGAGTGTTAAGTTGGTGACTTTCTACTGGAGGTACTTCAAGGAGACCAGAACTCGGAGAGGCAGAGGGAAAAGTGTTAAGAATTTTCTGACTTTTCCTTCCACTCTTTAAAATAATTGTGGTAAAATACTCATAACATAAAATTTATCATTTTAAAGTGTACAATTCAGTGACATTTCATGCATTCACGATGTTGTGCGACTATGACCACTATCTAGTTTCTGAATATTTTCATTACCCCAAAAGGAAACTCCATACCCAGTAAGCAGTATCTCCCCATTTCTTCTTTCCTCCAGCCCTTGGAAATCACTAATCTGCTTTTTATCTCTATGGATTTGCATATGCTGGATATTTTGTATAAATGGAACCATGCAATACGTGGCCTTTTATGCCTGGCTTTTTCACTTAGCATGTTTTCAAGGTTCGTGCATGTTATAACATGTATCAGTACTTCATTAATTTTTATGGCTGAATAATATTCCACTTAGGTATATACCACAATTTGTCTATCCACTCATTAATTCATGAGCATTTGAGTTCTTTCTCCATTTTGGCTATTGTGAATAATGCTGCAATGGGAACATAATTTTTCATTGGAACACCTGATGTAGATTCTTTGGGGGCATATACCTAGAGGTAGAATTGGTGGGTTATGTGGCTAAACAGAAGGTTGGTGGTTCAAACCCACCAGCCACTCCTTGGAAGGAAGTTTGGGCAATCTACCTCAGAAACCCAAGAAGGGGTTGCTATGAGTCAGAGATGACTCAATGACACATAACAACAGCAGCAATAACAACATGTTTAATTTTATCAAGGAACTGCCAAACTGCTTTTGGTAGTGACTGCACCATTTTACATTCCTATCAACAATGGATGAAGCTTCCAATTCCTCCACAGTCTCACAAACACTTGTTATTATTTTTATTATTGCCTAACGGTAGGTATGAAGTGGTATGCCTTTGGGATTTGATTTACGTTTCCTTAATGGCTAATTATGGACTCTGGTGGCTTAGTGGGTAAGGCATTTGGCTACTGACCAGAAGGTCAGCAGTTCAAACCCACCAGCTGTTCTGCGGGAAATATGAGGCAATTTACTTCCATAAAGATTTAGAGCCATGGAAACCCAATAGGAGGGGATCCTATGAGTTGGAATCAACTTGATGGCAGTGGGTGAATGGCTAATTGGAGTCCTTGAGTGGTGCAAACAGCACTCTTGGCTGCTAACTGAAAGACTGGAGAGTCAAATCTACCCAGAAGTGCCTCAAAAGAAAGACCTAGATATCGGCTTCTAAAAAATCAGCCATTGAAAACCCTACAGATCATACATAGTTCTATTCTGACTCAGTTAGGGTCGGCATGAGTCACAGCCTAGTAGACAGCAGTTGTAGGTGGTGGTAGAATGACTAAAGATGTTGACCATTTTTTCATTGTTTTTTTTTTTTTGCCCATTTGTACATCTCTTTTGGACTTTCCTTTAATCTCGACATGGGAAATTTGACTCTGCATGTTTTCTGACAAAGTGTAAAATCAGGGTGATGTCGATGGTGGGACCAAGAGCATTAGGAGCAGCTAAACTGGCAGGAGTGAAAGGATTGACATATATTAAGCATAGGTGGGAACTGCCTCATGTTCTTGCTCTATGTTCTGGTTACCTAGTGCTGCTCTGACAAGAATATACCATAAATGGGATGGCCTTAATGACAGGAGTTTATTCTCTTACAGTTTGGAAGCTTTAAGTCCAAGTTCAAAGTGCCAGGCTCTAGGGGCTGGGTGAAAGCCCCTCTACCTTGGGGTTCAGCTCTGCCTCCTGCTCCCTCCCTGCCCACTTAGCTGCTGGCTGCTAAGGCTGCCAAGCCCAAGGTTGACAAGTAAAAAGGCACAGTCCCAATGATATCAAAGCACACAGTGGTCCATTACTTCAAGGTCATTGTAAGTCCCAAGGTCGGCAGAGCATGGCAGGCTGCTGAACAATGACACGGTTATTTGCATGGTTCAAGCATGCCATATGCTAGAGACCATTCTCAAGGCTTCTCCTTATATACAGGAAGCAGACCACATCCCAAAGGCAGCTATTCAGCTGCTTGTGGTAGATCCCACCCTGGAGTTGATTGCCAGTCTCATCATGGGGAATAACTACCACCAGCTGCCCAGCCACTCAACCAGGCCCAGCCAAGTTGACACAAAAACATAACCACCACATTCTGGATATTTATTTTAGTCAATGCCTAGATGAGTATGTTATAGAAGGGGGACCCCACAACACCCTCACCTTCTGGAAAGAAAGAATTGCTCGCAGAAAGAGAGGAGGTTTATAAAGAGTAAGCCTTTAATGAAATACTGCATGAGACTGTATAATGGGACAGCCACAAGGCATTGGCATACAACTGGACTGCCAATGTTTCCAGTTGGCTTATAGCAATTATAGGGGACAGAATGAGGAAGCTATACAATTAGCAAGTCATGTGTGTGGGATTCCTAGCTTTTGATGTTCTGGTCCTCTGGACTGATCCAGGCATCTGCTTATCTATAGATAAAAAGGGGCTCTGTCATGGAGTCTCCTGTGTTAACACCCTAGGACCTGCAACAAATGGTCTGGCAATTACATACTTTTCTAATTACTATTTTTCCTGTTCCTGTCAGTAGGGATAATTTAGGTAGCTTACAAAAGAATATATAAGCAACTTCCATTCCTTACATTTGTCCCTACCTCACTATCAGTAAAACCAAACCAAATTCACTGTTGTGGAGTTGAATCCGACTCATAGCGACTCCTCCTTGGGCTTCTGAGGCAGTATCACTACAGAAGTAGATTGCCCAACCTTCCTTCTGAGAAGTGACTGGTGGATTTGAACCACTAGCCTTCTGGTTAGCAGTCAAATGCCTTATACATTATGCCATCAGAGCTCCCTCACTATCAGTAGGGGTGAAGTAATTTACAAAGGAATGTGGCCTGGCAGCTTCCTTACATCTGTCCCTACCTCATTATCATGTTGTTGTTATGTGCAGTGGAGTTGGACCCAACTCACAGCGACTCATAGTGGAGTTGGACCCAACTCATAGCAACTCGTAGCAACCCCTGCTTGGGTTGCTGAGGCGATATCACTATGGAAGTAGATTGCCCAACCAAAGGAGTGGCTGGTGGGTTTGAACTGCAGTAGGGGTAAGGTAATTTACAGGAGGAACTCTGGTGGCTTAGGTATTTGACTGCTAACCAGAAGTCTGGAGGTTCAAACCCACCAGCCACTCCTCAGAAGGAAGACTGGAAAATCTATTTCCATAGGGATACCACCTTGGAAACCCAAGGAGGAGTCTGTGAGGTAGAATTGACTTGACAGCAGTGAGTTTGGATTTTGGTTTTTAAGATAATTTACAAGGGGATGTGGCTTGGTAGCTTCCATTCCTTACATCTGTCCCTATCTCAAATACAACTCAATGACAGCAGCATGTATGGTCCATGACCTCCAGGCTAAATATTATGATTATTTACAGTCACTTCTTCATCAATATTTCCCTCAGATTGAGGAAAGAGGCTTCTGACTATCTTTCTCTTTCCAGGCCCAGTCCAGGAATATGAACTACTTCTTCAGATGACCTTTAGAGATTCCAATGAGCAAAAGACCTTGAAGAATTTTCTGAAGCTCTTGAAGCCTCCATCATTATTGCTACATGAGCCAATGAGGATTATCAGAGCAAAAGCTACTACATGTAAGTCAACTCTGGTGACGGGGAGTGTAAGTGATATAGGACAAATGAGGTTCTTAGCTACCTGATGCTAGCAGAGGTAATTACTCGACAACAGGATGAAGTGAGAAGCAAGACCATTTATTGAGTATTGATACCCAAAGAGACAGGGGGATTGGGTCTGCCAAATACTGTCTCCTGAGCTGAGGAAAGGTTAGGGTTTTCAAAGGAAATTGGGCTATGAGGGTAGGAGGTTTGAGAAATGCTGATAATGCTTTCTTCTTGTTATTGGGATGAGTTGTCTTTGCTTTGTGATTTTTCTGTCATACTTCCAGTAAGTGATATACAATTGGCTATAGTCAGGACAAATTGTTTTAGAAGCCCCTAGCATCTGCTTGGAAAGATTAACTTTACAAGGAAGGGAGAAAGTGGGAGTGGGTATACTCAAGCCTACAAGGAGAGATAAGGAGGAATATAGGAGTCTGTGCCCTTGGGCAGTGAGGCCTGAAGGCCTGTAAGGAGGGAAAGAAAAACAACATTAAAGTTTGGTTAACATGGCTGTTACCTTAGGCTATTTTACTCTTGGGGGCTATAGCATAAATGGGTAGGGGGTGCATCAGTTAGGTTTGGCTAGGTTGTTATGGAAACATACATCCCTCAATCTTTGTGGCTTAAAAGAATAAAGGTTTAATTTCTTCCTCATGCTACATGTCCATGTCCAATTCATAGAGGCTGTATTGCATTGGGAAAATGTGATGCAAAACACCACTTTCAAGTGTTAAGAAGAACAGATGTCACTTTAAAGACTAAGGTGTGCCTAACCCCAGCCATGTTATTTTCAATAGCCTCATATGCATGTGAAAGCTGGACAATGAATAGGAAGACTGAGGAAAAGTTCATGCCCTTGAACTGTGGTGTTGGCAAATAACACTGAAAATACTATGGACTGCCAGAGAATGAACAAATCTGTCCTGGTAAAATGGCAACTGGAATGCTTCTTAGAAGTGAGAATGGCCAGACTTCATCTCACCTACTTTGGTCATGTTGTCAGAAGAGACTATTATTTGGAGAAGGATACAATGCTTGGTAAAGTAGAGGGTCAGTGAAGAAGAGGAAGATCCTCAACAAAATGGATTGGCACGGTAGCTGCAACAATGGGCTTAACTATAACAAGGATTGTGAGGATGGTGCAGGACTGGGCAGTGTTTCATTCTGTTATGCATGGGTTTGCTATGAATCAGAGCCAACCCTATGGCACCTAACAACAATGACAACACTTGGGGACCCGACCATTTTCTTGAATGTGATCATTGGTGAGACAGAGGGAAATAGGGCACTGGAAGGTCTCATGTAGGCGATTAAATTTTCTAACTCAGAAGTGGCACACAATAATTCCAGTTACAGCCTTTTGGTCAAAAATGATTCCCTTGCCCCGTACAACTTCAAGGAGTCAGGATATGCAATCCTACTATTTGCCTGGAAAAGAGCAAGAAATATTTAGTGAACAACACTAATGACCATGACTGAAGGAGCTCTGGTGGCATAGTTCCTAAGGCATTTGACTGCTAACCAGAAGGCTGGTGTTCAAATCTACCAGCCACTTCTCGAAAGGAAGATTGGTCAATCTACATCCATAGTGATACCACCTTGGAAACCCAAGGAGGTGTCGCTATGAGTCAGATTCAACTCAATGGCAGTGAATTTGGTTTTGGTTTTGGTAGACTTACTGAATTAGAAACTCTGAGGATGGAACTCTCTAGGCAATTCTAGTACATATTAAAGTTTGAGAACAAGTGGCCTAAGTCTTTGTAGAAGTTAGTGGTGACATTAGCACTAAAATTCAGTTTTTTGATCTATAGTTCATATTCATTCTGCTATGTCAGTAATTTTACAATTTTAGCATGAGTTGTACATCAAAATCATATGGAGGTCTTGTTAAAATACATATTATTGGCTTCTATTCCTAGAATTATGATTCAGTAGATCTGGGTTTAGGCCAAGAATCTTCATTTCTGACATGTTGTCAGGTAAAATTGATGCTCTTGGTCCAGACACCACACTTTGAGAACCATCATGCTACACCATGTTGTATCTCATTTGTGTTGTCTTCTTTGACTTCTGATAAATTCAGCCTTACTAATGGGCCTCTGGTAGCACAGCCTAAGGCATCTGATTGCTAACCAGAAGGTTGGTGGTTCAAACCCACCAACCACTCTGTGGAAACAAGACTGGGCAATCTATTTCCATAAAGATGTACTGCCTTGGAAACCCAGTGGGGGTTGATATGAGTTGAAATCGACTCGATGGCAGTGGATTTGGTTTGCTTTTTTTTTTTGAATGAGCCCCTGCCAAGGAGTTGGGGAAATCCTCAATGCTTGTACTCTCTCTTCTAGTTAGCATTTTAGTGTCAATCGTAAGCCCATGCCATTAATTCATTTACCTATTCAACATGCATTTATTGGGCCCACTTTATACTGAGAACAAGAAGTAGAGCAGTGAACAAAACAAATTTTCCTATCCTAATAAAGCATACAACCTCAGAGAGCATTTACTTAGATCCGCAATTAACATCTGTGTAAGCAGCAATCAAGAAATTAAAAGATGTATTGCATTGGGCAAATCTGCTGCAAAAGATTTCTTTAAAGTGTTAAAAAGCAAAGATAACACTTTGAGGACAAAAGTGCACCTAAATCTAAGACATGGTACTTTCAATTGCCTCATATGCTTGGGAAAGCTGGACAATGAATAAGGAAGATTTAAGAACTGATGTCTTTGAATTATGGTGCTGATGAAGAATATTGAATATACCATGGACTGCCAGAAGAATGAAAAAAATCTGTCTTGGAAGAAGTACAGCCAGATGGCAAGACTTTGTGTCAAGTGCTTTAGACATGTTATCAGGAGGGACGAGTCCCTGGAGAAGGACATCATGCTTGGTAAAATAGAGGGTCTATGAAAAAAAGGTAAATTGACACAGTGGTTGCAACTAAAAATTCAGTGTTTTGATCTATAGTTCATATTCATTCTGCTATGCCAGTAATTTTACAATTTTAGCATGAGTTGTGCATCAAAATCCTATGGAGGACTTGTTAAAATACATATTATTGACTTCTATTCCTAGAATTATGATTCAGTAGATCTGAGTTTAGGCCAAGAGTCTTCATTTCTGACATGTTATCAGGTAAAATTGATGCTCTTGGTCCAGACACCACCATGGGCTCAAATATAGCAATGATTGAATGGTGTAGGACTGGGCAGTGTTACATTCTGTTGTACATAGGGTCACTATGAGTTAGAACCAACTTGATGGCACTTAACAACAATATAGTGCATATAATCAAGAAGGGTACTGAAAATTTAAAAAACTAGCATATATACATAATATGATAAGCATTATATATGTATCAGTATTTGTGTATAATATTGCACATTGTTCAGTGATAAATGCAATGAAAAAATATAAAGAGAATGCAATGTGGTAGAAAAATTTACTGTTTTAAATAGAATGGTCAGAGAAAGCCTGTCTGCTGAGGTGACTTTAAAGCAGAGATATGAAAGAAGTGAAGAAGCAAGATATGTCACTGCCTGAGGGAAAAGTATTACAAACAAAGGAATTAGTAAGTGCAAAGGCCATACTAGCAGAAGCATACTAGCCACATTTAAGAAATAACAAAGACACCAGTATGGTTGGAGAAGTGTGACAGAGAGAGTGGTATGAAATGTGACCAGAAAGGAAGAGGGGAAATCAGATCACATGGGATTGTGTATGGCATTATAAGAATTTAGTCTTTCGTCTTGTATGAGATTGGAAGTTAACAAAGAGTTTTGAGCAAAGAAATAACATATTTATGATTCTAAAAGGACACTCTGGCTTCTTTCTGTAGAAGAGGCAAAGGATATGAGGAGAAGGAAAGGATGGAAGCAGGACGACCAAATAGGAGGCTACAGCATTCATGTAGGCATGAGGGTGACTTGGAGCAGGTGGTGGGGTGAGAAATGGTAAATTCAAGATATAGGTGAAGTCTGACCCAATAAGATTTTCTCTTAGATTATGTCTTATTCTGGGTTCTCCTAAGAATGATACCAGGGAGATGATCTCAAAGAGGAGGAGTAAACTTCTATTTATTGCTTCTGTTCTCTGTTTCTTTTTTTCCTTCTTACTTCTTTTGGATTGAGTATTCTATGAGATCCATTATTGGCTTATTATTTACACTTTCTTGTTGTTGTTACATCTTTCTAGTGGTTGTTCTAGGGTTTATGATATACCCATGTAATAGGCAGATAGAATTTCTGGGAGATGAATATGTGTTCTAATTTCATAGCCTAAAGCTCCACGTTAATCTTGTTCCATTTAAATATTGCCTTATTCTACCACTTGTAGCCATAATCATATAAGAATTCCGCCCCTGCAACCACATTCCTAAGACCATAAAAACAAGACAGGAACAGCTCACAGGACAGGGCAATCATATTCCTCAAATCCTGAGCCAAGGAAGGAACACTGTAAGAGAAATCACACAAATGTAAATTTACTACTTAGATGGCATTTCCTGATAACAGGCCATTTTTGAGATGTTTTCTACCCCACTACCTGTGGTCAGAATTAACCAGTTTCAGAGCCTGTGCACCCCTGCCCTCCTTTACCATCTGAGGAACTAAGATGATCAATCTAAGATGGGACCAAGACTCAAACTAAGAGCAAACAGCAGACTACACCTGTGCAGAAGAAGTCATGGCATCCATGTTGAAACACACAGACTCCATATTAGAAAGATATTGTGCATGCACCTAGCCTGAAGGAAGGTGAGGTTTATCATTAGGAATTTATCACAGCCTTGTTCCGCTTCCTGGCTTTCACAAAAACATCAGGATTTTATGAGTAACTTGCTTGCATAAGGTCTTTTGAAATCACATACCCCTCAGCCTTGAAACTATTATGAAAACTCCTAGCCTGCAAGGATTGGAGAGACACACATGGCATTGCCTCTGACCCTGTGTGTCTCCACCTTACAAGGTTACTATCCTCTTATTAAATTTCTCTCTGAGCTACAGCTGACTTCTAGTCATTCATTATTTTGGAACTCTACCTATGACATCCAGACTTTATCTTTTAATTATTATGATAGTTATTATCAACTGAGAAATAGACTTTATTATTTCAATCTTATACATGAAGAAACTGAAGTTCAGAGGCATTAAATAACTTAATCAAAGTCACCCCACTGATAAAATAGCAGAAAGGATATTCAAACATTTCTCATGCTTCCATTTCTGAAATCCTTCCCATTCACTGAACTACCTCATACATATTTTCACAAAAATGAATGGTGGCCCAACTTTTCTGTCTATTAAAAAAGAATGACTTTTGTTAGGAATTTCAGGTCATAAAGAAGAGAGTGATTTTGCCAAGATTGGCTGATGGAAGTTTTCAACATACTTTTCAAAAAATAGCATTTTTTCCTTCTCCATCTTGCTTATAAGGCCTAACATAGAATGGTCATGGTGCATGGGGCTGGTGGAAGAACACCTGATAAGATATTGGTCAAATATCCTCTGGAACCCCCTAAATATCTCCTTGGTTCTCTCTTCTACTATAAGGACTATCTACTGGGCATTTTTCCTTTTTTTAGTTGTTAACAGTAACAATTTTATTTTGGTTTGCTAGATTTCTAAAGGAATTCAGGTGTCTGATGGAAGCCCTGGTAAACAGTTAACACATTGGGCTGCTAACTGAAAGATTGGCAGTTTGGGTCCATCCAGACTCAACTAAGAAGAAAGGACTGGCTATATACTTCTGAAAAGTCAGCCATTAAAAGTCCTATAGAATTTAGTTCTACTCTGTCACACATTGAGTCATTATGAGTTGGAGTCAACTTGACAATGGCAACTGGTTTTGTTTTGTTTATTTTGGTTTTGCATTTCTGATACCAACCTCAGAATTGCACATTTGGCTGGACATTTCCTTATGATAAACATACTTCCATCTGTTTTTATCACTCTAGATTCTGTTAAGAAATACTAGGTTCACATTCCAAGTTAGAGCCAAGGAACAGAATTCAGGAATAGTCACCATATTAACCAGACTCCATGAGACCAAATTCTGTTTTCATGCAGACTGTAGCAGCATGAATGGAACTCTGCGGTGTGTTTGTGAAGATGGCTACACCTGGTTCCCTCCCACGTGCCTTGATCCCCAGAAATGCTTCCTTCATACTTCAGGATCACTCCAGAGCTGTGAATGTCATCTCAGCAACCTCAGCCAGAGTACCAATTTCTGTGAGAGAGCAAGTAAGCACATAGGGCCTGGAGAGGAGCTCTGGGCTGGAGACCCCTCCCATACTAGCATGCATGTGAAAGGGGATTCTGATTCTTTGCCCTCCTCAGGAGAGCTAGTGCTTACAAGTAGCTTGAAGGACAATGATGATACATTCCTTTAGTCTTGGGTGGACAGAGTCAGAGATTCAAAAATAGAGGAGATTCAGAAACTAAGTTGACATGTGGGCATCTTGTCAGCCTTCATGTCTGGCTCTACAATTCTGTAATTCTACTGAGATGTGATGAGATTCACTGAAATCTCCAGTAGGGAAATTGCTAGAGTAAATATAATTTTTGTTCCTATCCTCTTCCTACATCCCCCCACCACCATCAGTTTCCAGGAAAGGAAGTCTGAAGGTGTGAAAGGAGGAGGAATACATAGTGAATAAATTGAAGGAAATGCTCAAAATTTCCAATGAATATGTTCCATGTATTGAGTGCATTACCAAACCCAAGCAAAAAAAAAAAAAAAAAAAACCCTTTAAAGTCTAGTTTAGGAAACCAGTGGAAGTAGAGGAGTTCTATTGACTTAGATTGATGGTTAGTGGATGATGAGGTGAGCCTAATCAGCGGGGCTGGTGATCTTAAAAGATTTTAAGAAGCTTCCCCAAGAACAACCCTACGCACTGCCATTGAGTCGGATTCGACTCATAGTGACCCCTCCTTGGGTTTCCAGGTGGTATCAATATGGAAGTAGATTGCCCAACCTTCCTTCCGTAGAGTGGCTGGTGGGTTTGAACCACCAGCCTTCTGGAACAACCCTAGATATCTTGAAACTCCAGACTTTGAAAGGGCTGAGCAAAGTGTGAGGGAGGAACGTGAAATAACCCAGTTTTACTGGGCATCCTGGATTTCCCTTCCCAAGCCCACAGTAGTTCAGATTAGGGCAGCACATTTATTACATACCACCTTTACACTCACATCCAGGGCAAATTCTGAGAGGACACAAAGAAGTATTTTCCTTGGCCACTATGAGTTAGCAGTCTAGTTGAAGAGGACAGGCTGAAATACAAGAAAGAAGACAGTATAATTTCTTCGACAAATATTTACTGAAAGACTACCTTTAGGAAGATGGATTCATTAGGGATGGAGCCTATTATGGATTAAGTTGTGCACCCCAAAAATGCATATTGTAAATATTAACCCCTGTACTTGTGGTTTTAATCCCTTTTGTGAATAGGTTTTCTTTGTTACATTAATGAGGCAGTATTAGTGTAGAGGGTGTCTTAAATCAATCTCTTTTAAGATATAAAAATAATACATTAAGCAAGGAAGAAAGCAAGCAGAGATGGGGGAACATAGATTTCACACCACATGCAATCTCCAAAGAACCAAGAGACGGAAAGTGAAAAGAAACAAGGACCTGCCCCTAGAGTGGACAGAGAGACTTTGCCCTGAATTTGGACTTCTAACCTCCTAAATGCATAAATAAATTTCTAATTAAATTTATGTTCATTAAATACCACCCACTGGTGGCATATGTGTTATAGGAACAGGAGATAACTAAGACAATATCTGATCATTCTTCAAGGGATACAAAGATGTATCACTCATAGGTCACATGCATAAGGGCCTTCCAGTATAGTGGGGAAGATGAGACTATATACCAATAGATGTGTCGATACAAAAGGCTGTGAGAGAGTATAGATAAAGGACTGTAGAGGAGAGAGGAGCTTTCTGCAACTGGTGAACAGGGAAAGTCTCACAGGGGAAATAGCATTTGTTTATCTAGGCCTTGAATGAAGGATAAACAGAAATGTACTTAAGAGATAGGTAAAGACCTGTCCCAGTACAGAAAACCACCAGCAATGGGTAAGTTAGGGGCATGTTGACAGTTAGTAAGTAGTGGTATTTTTCCTTTTTAAATATTTTAAATAGGGACAATGTTTAAACTCAATGCCTGGATGGAGACGTATTTCAGTGTTAAGTCACTGCCTTTTTTTTTTAATCCACAAAGTGGCTACGTATTTTCCTACTTGCATGATTGTCTCAATTACCAGTACTTTTCCACTTCTGTTTCAAATATACAATTGAAAATTGTAGTTTTAAGTATGCTTCCCATAGCACTCCAGGCCAAAATTCATCTTGAAAATAAACTAAAATACCACTTGTGGAATACATGGGTTTTTAAATATACTTCTGTAATTTTATACTGGAATCCCTGGGTGATACAATCAAGCTCAGCTGATAACCAAAAGGTTGGAGGTTTGAGTCCACCCAGAGGTGCCTTGAAAGAAAGGCCTGGCAATCTACTTCCCCAAAAATCAGCCATTGAAATTCTACAGAGCACAGTTCTACTCACATGCATGGGGTCACCATGGTCAGAATCAACTTCATGACAATTTTATTTTTTCTTATTCTACTAATAAAATCCAGCTGGTAAATTTTTATATCTATAAACTTTTTTCTTCCTCACAGAGATTTGGGGAACTTTCAAAATTAATGAAAAATTTACAAAAGATCTTTGGAATTCATCTTCTGATACATACTCCAAATATACAACTGGAATTGAAATTCAAGTAAGCACTTTTCTCTTATTACATAAGGAATTGCTTGCTAAACATAAGTTAAGGTTATTTAAATTTAACATAGATATTTGATACTTATACTTAGTTATTCATTTTCAGTGGGTTGTTTCAGAAAGTCATTTGCTCTGCCCACAACTGAGACACTTTCAGCGCCTTCTTTCTACAAGAGTTTAGCAGTTTACTTCTTTCCACTTTCTTTGTGTTTAGTTTAACCTATTCATGTGGGTAATATCATAATCAGCCTTCTTTATTATTTTGTTTGTCGAAAGAACATTTTCATGAAATAAGTTCATGACATTTAGTGCATTTAGAATTTATTCCATAAAGTCTCTCTTGTCAGAAGCTAAAATGAGTAACTGAGCAAAACTCTGCACATCACAATGAGGTCATATAATAACGAGATCAGAGTACCTCTGCCTGGGATGGTTTGGTGTGGTTCTAACTGAAGACATGGGGAAATGCTTTGCATATGGATTCAGTGTAAGTATTTGTGAATATTAATGGGTTATTTTTTTTTTTTGGAAAATGGATTTTGGGTGAATTTATTATATTATCTGGCACTAGATTCATCCCCTATTCACAATGAGGTCATATAATAACGAGATCAGAGTACCTCTGCCTGGGATGGTTTGGTGTGGTTCTAACTGAAGACATGGGGAAATGCTTTGCATATGGATTCAGTGTAAGTATTTGTGAATATTAATGGGTTATTTTTTTTTTTGAGAAAATGGATTTTGGGTGAATTTATTATATTATCTGGCACTAGATTCATCCCCTATTCTAAGCAATTGGTTGCTCACTCTGTTTTAGCAACCTCAAAAATAAACTTTAGCATTTGTATGTATTTGTTGCAGTTTTATGACATGCAACCCTTTTCCACTGTATCTATTTCTTTTTCTCTATTGTTCCATTGATTTATTTATTGTCTGTCTCCATGTTTTGCTCAAACGCCTTTGTCAAGTAGGAGGACAAAGATCAACATTTTGCCCTTTGTTCTCTTTGTAAGCTTAAAGAAGCATACAGAAGAGTTCAAGGTTTTGAGTCAGTTCGGGTCATCCAATTTCGGTAAGTAACACAATGGCCTTAGAAGGGCATCCCCCAAATTGTGTACTCGTCCTGCAGAATGCTAGACTGTTTCCAAGAGAGAAAACAGAGCAGAATCTGGTAGGATTCTTACTAAGACTGGACAAAGGTCTGTGATTCTGTAAAGTGTCTGAAGATTAAAGCCTGGATTCCCATGTAAATGAGTTTAGAAACTTAAATACTGAGGATCATCCTCTGAGCTGTTAATCACAGACTAGAATTGAAAAACCATAGTAGTAGGATAGAACTTGGGAGCAAGCAAGAGATTTAGGTGTGTATGTATAGGAAGGGCTTCGTGGATGGTGCAATCAGCTCAGTGTCTAGAAGTTCAAGTCTATCCAGAGGGGCCTTGGAAGAAAGCCCTGACTATCTACTTCTGAAAAATCAGCCATTGAAAATTCTATGGAGAACAGTTCTACTCTGACACACGGGAGGTTGCTGTGAGTCAGAGTTAGCTTGATGACAACTTTGTTTTTTTAATGTATGGGAAAGGGTGAAGGGTGAGACACAGGGATGTGGCTTGTGATGGCAATGCCTGGATGGAGACGTATTTCAGTGTTAAGT